ACTTCACGTGAACTAATCGAAGTCGCAACACAGAAGAAGAAAGATTGTACAATGCAGTCATTTGGTTATTTGTCCAGGCGATTTTGTTTAATATATTTATGCATGCTGGAAATTGAGGCCGTGAAGTTAAAGTGTACCCAAGTATGGAAAAGGTCATACTTTTGAAAGTGGGCGCATATAAGGTGAATGCAAAAGATGTGAGTAATGCGACTGAAATCACAATTTGTTTCTCTGGCTGATATCCGCTATGTAGAATGTGAACACAGAGGATAGCCCAATGAACGGCATAGTATTAGTGAGTCCCAACGCCAAATCAGTCAAGAATACCAGTGGAATGGACTTATCGTCATGAGAAGTTGAGAGCATACATCACTATAGTAATTTTCCTATCATACACCTCATCTGACTGAATGGCATATGGGTCATCTTGTCTACACCATTCACCGGTTGCCATTCCATCATGGTACTACACGCTGCTGTCTTGTAACTAGAATCTGCTCATGAAATGTTCAGCACTATGATAAATTGCACCTATTAGCTTCCACATACACTCCTCCCCAGCTATACATACATGGGCATCTCGGTCCAACGTGTAAGTCAACTTCTCCTCTGTGGAAACATGTAAAAACATGTAGAGAGGCGGAGCACTGAATTCACGGTGAAAACAATATCTGTCCTCTCTCGTGCATGAAGGGCAGTTGGTACAATGATTGTTAGTAAGCATACAAGACAATAAATGGGTGGTAGAGATGACACCTTCTTCTACACATGAAGCTCGTATATCATTTCTGGATGCTGACCAAACAAAGGTTGCAATGCCCATTGAGGATGAGGTTAAACCACACTCTGCACAAGAGTATGTCAATTGCATATAGGGTAGAGAGGCAATGAACATGGCATTGAGAACTGCAATCAGATTTGTGAGGTAGGAACTGGACCTCGGACACCCGAACACCCCCTGAGCACTAATTATATTGCGTAATTCATCGCGAACTCTCTCAAAAGTCAGGCCCTGGTGTTTGTTAACTTGAGCAAACTCATCCGCCAACACAGACATCAGTTCGCTATTCTTGATGCATTCAGACTATGTACTTTTATGCTCCAACCTCGTGTTATATAGCATGATCAGTACAGAGTCGTACACACAACTCCAGTTGTACCGGTCCCTTGTCAGACCCAAAGGTAGTGTTCAATTACAAGTAGTATACAATGGCATTACACGAGGTTTTTTTAGTTGACATAGATCTTTGTGAGTATCTGCCTTCCGTCAATGACTTACAGGCACACATTGAGTATCACCAGAAGCTGCGTCAAGCTTTTCATGCTTTTCTGCAGCATCGGTGTTCCCCACTAACCTCCAATGTTCAGGTGCAGATGGAGGCACTATTTCTTTAACCAGGTTGTGGGCTCAGCTCAGCGATTCATGTACTGAACCTGGTATGTAGTTGTATCCATAATAATTGTAGTCTGTCCCTATTAAATCAGCTCGGGTCGATCCAAATATCACAGAAGGCAACAAACCCTCCACCCTGAGGCGAGTTATGTTGTCCAATATTTTGAGCTTTTGCAGCTCGCGCAGTAAGTTAGTATGTAATCCATTCGTCACTTTACTCCAGTTAAACTTACTCAATATCAGCGCTCCATAGTATGAGGAGCTTTGAGATAGACACGTATACATTGACTGGTGCCCTTTACAATATTGCAGGTCAATGACATTTGCCAACTGTGTGTGCCCTTGCACACCGAAATCAGTCATGGCAAAATTCAGTAATGACATAACCTGCTTTTGCAATATTCGAACTATTGAGTCATCAGACAAGGTACAGCATATCTGCTTGCTACTGTACATAATGGGGACAATGTTTGTAGGTAAGCCTGGCACGTGAACATCTTTCAGCGGACTTGTCAAAAGGATGAAAACAGTAGTAAGTTACCTTTTTTTGAGAGAGATCAGTTGTGATTGCCAGCCCACTACTGTTCTCTCGGCACCATTGGTAATGCATAGTTCAGTTGCTTCATTGATTTTCAGCATCACCGGCATTCCGAGACAAAGCTGGACTTTGCCTACAATGTGTTCAGTGGCAGCCGGTGGCAAACACCACAGTTCTTCTCATAGCGCAGAGCTAAGTGATGCAAACTGGCGGGATTTTTTACTCGCTGCATTTTTCTGAAGCTGTCTAGTAGAATCTTTGTCCTTCACACTTGACAATTTGTCTACAGAGTAGAACATTTCCAGTGGAACATTGTGTTCACACACGAAACACGCAGACCTAGTTTCATGAATGACATCCCGGTGAGTGTTGCATGCAGTAATAATGTTAACATTTCTGAACAGAGCGTCATTTAAAACAGGCCAATGAGGCTTATCACTTGAGATTCTAGCATTTAATAGCTTTAAGTTATCATCTGTGCAGGCGCCGTACTGCATGTTCATCAAGGCTGATCAAAATGTGTCATCCTCACATGACAATCCAAGCTGGCACATGTTCTGACAAAGAATAACCACAGTATTGAACAGATGCCACAACGATCGACTGAGCGCATTTTTCTGGCCAGCCAATGTTAGTCCGCTACTGTCCAAACCAACCGAGAACGTGTACAATGCGTATTGGCCAGGGCCAACGGGGGATAACTGGGCAGAATCACTGGTGATGATCACACTTTTTCCACTAAATGCCTGTGTATGCTTGTTGAAAGCTATACATAACTGAGCACTTATTTGGTAAAGGTTTTTACAAGATACCATCAATATCTCATCTAAAAAGATTACGTCAACTCCGCCCAGTCTATCTTAAACCTTGCTCAAAGATGTGGACCCGCCCAACTCAAACTTTCCAAAAGAAAGCAATGAGTGATATGTAAAGCCTCCTATACAACTCGCAGCTGATCCAGTAGGTGCCACAAGCATGAAATGATGCACTTCGTGCCGCTCCTCTAAAAATGCCAACAGAGCCTTAATCACTTGCGATTTGCCCGTACCCCCAATGCCCCCCAAATACATCAATAAAGGTTCATTCTGAGGATTTACCAAGTGGCTCGTGACCAACAAGAAAGCTTGTTGTTGATCGTTGTTAAGGGTATATCGTGTCACAACATTGTTCATGTAGTTTGTAGGAAGCAATTCATTGCTATACTGACGAGAGTCTACCTACGTCCACCATTCCAAGTCGAGTAAAGACAGCTCTTCTACAGTATTAGTATCCCGTTGATAAAGTTTTCAGGTCAGGAAAGGCTGATCATTGTTGGCTACAGTTGCATTCAGGACTGATCATTGAGCAAGCACAACAGCCACTTTTGCCTGTGCCAGAGTTTCGCGCCAATTCGCAGCCAACAGCTAAGTATCTGATCACACTGGCTTCAGCACATTGGACGTAACAAATCTGAGGTCCAGATTCACAGAGCCATGTGTGTCTAACTCATCCAGAAATGCTTGCATTTGATACACCTCTTGCTGATGAGCCAAAGTTTTTTACCAACTTGAAACATGGTCTCGGGCAACTGGCCGGCTGCAATAGGATCAACCAGCTCTTCCAGCAAACAGTCCTCTATCTGGGCCTGGTTGAGTTCTCAAATCTAGTCATCTGCCAAAAAACAAGCCAATGACTTTGCTTGTCCAGTTAGACAGCATTGCAAACTGTAGTTGTCTCTGCTATCCTGACACTTGTACAACAAGTTCATGTTATCCATTATGCAATGGTGACCCTCAGCAAACAGCGTGCGATAAAAGGAGTCATTCTAAGACTCTCTTTACAACCGTGGATCCAAACCGGTGCGCCATCCTCGGGGGGCAAAAAAAGTTAACATCGTTTTGCAATAGGCCTCTCAGTCGCCTTTGTCCTTATGCGGCAGATTAGAACCCACAAAGTTAAGGACTGTATCCATGTGTTTTTTGATACAGAACACAGTGTGAGTTTCGTACCATAGATGTTTGGGCAGAAACGCATATAGACCATCACATAGTGCATCATCTTGATCATCATTATCATCACTATCTACAGCATCGTATGAACTTTTGTCACTGAAGACGTTATTGCCTTCGTTGTATACACTGCATTCTAAACAGCTGTGCATAGCTGGTGTCAGCCACTTCATGATAGTCTCTAGAAGGTAGTCATGCAGACTCATCTCTTTGAATTCTCTCGGACAATACTTCCAATTGTTCGGCTTTGTATGTGCAGTTATTCAACCACGCATCAAATCCAGTTTGGTGAGATCTCCATTTCCATTGGTGCGATTGCCATCACCATCAGTGGCCCAAGCATTGTCAGCAAGTCGCACATATGAGTACCAGTAGCATGGTCTGAACTTTTTGTCTGTGTAGTGATCAGGATGTCCAAGTAAATGACTGCACACCATTGGCCCCTCCACTTTCATCTGAGAAGTGAGAGCATTGACAATTTTCATGATAATGCGTTTAGCTGCTAACGGTTTAGATGAACTAGTCAATACAATCTCAGCACTGTTAGACAGTATGAACCACACTGTTTCAAATACAATGTACATCTTGAGTCCAGGTTTCATCACGTAGTCTGTAATGTATACAATTACAGCCTGAACCTGAGTACCAGAGAGCAAGCAAGCAACATCTGTGTTGCACTGCATCACGTAGCTCAATACAATAGAAAATGTGTTCATCCACTGTTCTCCTTTGCGCAGCTGCAAACCACCATCTGTTAAGCTCACCGAAGTAAACGCTTCAACCTTACAGAGAAAATGTGCATGACAAATGTAATCAGAAGGGCAATGACACCCTTTACTATGTGATCTATCATGCATGTTATATAACCACACAATCTCATCTGTAATTTCGACCATTTGTTGAAACCATAATTTAAGCGCAGGACCATCAGAGTTGTTGTCTAGTGGAGGCAACAGCTGCCCAGTGGTTGGGTCAGGCCACCATGGCTTCGGACACTGCTGCTTTGCAGGCATCCCAACTGACTCCAATCTGGCCTTGATTTTATCAAAAGTACCAGTACTAAACTGATCTTAATGACATGAATCCAACCATTAAATAATTTCAGCTGCAAATGTTGAACTCATATCTATACACCGCGCTCGTATATCAGCTGGGCTGCACGATCCAGCGATCCACAACAATAGATGCAAGTGAAGAGTGAGTCTACCCTGTTATTCAACTGTACCATAATACTCTGATGTGTGCCCAAACAGTCCTGCCTCTTTGGAGCCCACTTGCAAAATGTGCTCAATGAACAAGTTCACTATCAGATTAAAAACCTCGTGCACGCAGCTGAGTTTTTGACCACCACACGGAGCTGCTCCTGCTCAGAGGTTTTCATTGGACAGTAGTTGAATTAATTCATGGGCTCCCCACAGAAATATAGACACACAGGATTCTTGGACTCTGATGGTGCGAACGTAATGAAGAATACCGGCACGCCACATCAATAAATCATAGATCTAATCTCACTGTGCTGTTGCTTCTTCCTCACAATTGAGGCAGATACATGACCAGCTACTTGGTCTATCAAAGTTAACATCTCATAGCATTTTCACTCCTCTTCAGTCGAAGGAGGCATATAACTGACATTCTTTCCACGCTCTATAAGGCAGTCCAAGACATCTAAATCCATCCTAAGTATTTTCTCTGCCAAGTCAGAGACTTTTTGTTGCTCCACTAGCACATGCCCACTTTGAGAAGAAGAGGCAATTTGCTCGTAATTGAACACTATGAACAGAAAGTACTCATCTTCCTGAAACCGCCTGTCATGATAGTTCAGCAAGTACCTTGCATGAGCCTTAGGGTCTATGGTGCGATGGATAGAGTAACAATGGAACGCTTCTCATCTATACAAAAATAACCAAGGAAACATGCCTGGGAAGATCTTCAGGTTTTCAAAAAGTAATCTCTGGAATCTGCTTATGACTGTAACCCAGCACCTTTTCACCTTGACAAAGATTTTTAATGGCCAGTGCTACGCGCTAATTGTGACTGAGTTCACTAACATTGTCCGCGCATACATTGTGAACAGCAAATAGGCATGGTCCATCTTTTATGCCAGCTCTTTGTCTTTGTCTGACACTGACATGGATTGCACAGGTGCATCACCAGCCGAACTTTGATAATACCAGTCGACTGGTGGACTAGTCTCCGAAAATTGCTGGAGGTTGTCTAGCAAAATCTCCAGGTTCTGATAAAGTGGGTGGTGAACTTTTAACCAATGCAACGCAGCCAGCACATGATCTTTTCGAATAAGCAAAGGCATCTGCTTGAAATCTGTCTTGGTAGGTCGGCAGGGTCCTGTGAACAATACTGCCAAAACATCACTAACTTCATCCCTAGAGGAAGGCAACTTGTGATAGAACTTGGGTACTGGCTGTGAGAACACCACTGCATTTGCATGCATCTTGCGAGCACTGGTAGCAATGGTCACAACACATACATTATATTGGTAATGGGCAATCATAATCTTCTCCACTAGCCTCAAATTGCACAGCTCTGCCGGCACCTCTCCCATTTATAACCTGTTTGCCAGTGCAAACTGTGGCAGTGACTTGTGCTTATATAATGACACTGAGCATTCTGTACAACAGCGCACGGTATGTTGCCCAGCATCAACTCCATCTGCACACAGCAGATGTATGACATTGTCACACATGCTTCACGGCAGAACATTATCAGCATGGTTAAAAATCATGTCAAGAACTGGGTCGTCAAGTGAAACCTCAGTCAACGATGTATTGAGCACCAGCCTGCTACAAACGCCGCATGCACTCTCCACCAAAGCTTCTGGTGAAGTAGCCGCCATTCATCGATGAACAATTTCTGCCAACTGAGAATGACTGTGCAGTTCTAGCAAAAATTGTGTGTTTGGTGTAGCAGATGCAGAGGTCGGATGGCAAATATTCCTTGCTTCCAATGTGAAATTAGTCACCACTGGCTGTTGATACAGCTATATGTTGGGCAGACAACTGTCTCCGCACTTATGTTGCTCTGCAAGAGATCACAGCTGCTCCAGGGTTTTGCCTTTAATACAGTGCAGACAGTGTGCTCTCAGCAACTGCTCCAAATGCATATATGAAGCATACAGGGTGATGAATTGCATTGGTAGTTCTAAGATAACGAGATTTGGGCCGCATTCCACAAGTTCGTTTATGAACTGAACTGGTACAACGCTATCCCATTCGTCCAGGCCGCTAAGCGATCCTTTCAGCACAGAAAATGGCCGAATGTCCACAATAGCAATGTGTTGGCAGTGACCACCGCTAAGCACCTGCTGTGCATTCTTGTGTCCAGAATGCGTGGGGCGCCACTTCTGACCATTCTAAGGACTAGACACATAACAGGAGGTAAGGCAAAGAGAAATAAAGACAACTGAGCACGTTAGCTACGATATCCAATGCTAGTAAACTGATAACTTACCAATCACGAGTAGTGCGCCTGCAATAGCCATCTGAACTGCGGACTGGCAAGCTCTGCAGTTATGCAAGGCAGACAGTGCACAACAAGCGCTTGCAAAACACAGGTCAGCTTTTAAGAGCATCGAAGGTTCAAATACGCACTAGGCATGGATCGATGCATATTCCCAGGCCCACATGGACAAGACAGAGGATGTAGGAGCCAGAGCATGAGAGAAGTCAGGCGTAGCCGACTGAATGTTCATGTTCATCCACTCCAGATATACTGACAAACAGAAGCAATTATGCTGTGCCTAGTTGCACACTCCTATTTTTTGTATGTAAGGATGTTGCAACAGAGGCAAACCTCTACGTATAGCACAGGTCCAAAAAGGTGAAAAGAGTCTGCCGAGCACCTCCATATCGTGTGTGAGGGCGTAGCAACAGAGGCAAACCCCTACGTATAGCAGAGGCCCAAAAAAGGGAAAAGAGACCGCTGAGCACCTCCATATCACGCAGGTACGAAACTAAGAAGCGGGTGCATTCCTGGGTGCATAAACACACCGCCCTATTATCTCATTGACAGTAGCAAGGATCTCACCAGGTTTCAAGTTGCTAGGATTGACGTTCCTGTAGTAGATCCTGTTGAAGTGCCATGTAGCTCTTGTTAGAACTGAAGTGGAATAAAGGAGACTTATACAAGTCTCAACTGCATTTGTTATGACAGAGGTTTCTTAGCAAGCCTGAAGCTTGTCTGATTGCTTTATCTACAGATGAGGTTAGAGCAGAATAAAGAAACATGAATATATGAAGGAGCTGAAAGCTAGGGTGCTACTGTACATGCACGGGGTATTTATACTACTGCTCAGCCTAACCTAAGGACTAGTCTACTAGTCAAAGGAACTGCAGATGAGTCAGTAAAGCTGCGCTCTATGAGTCAATAGAGATAAGTACTACTAGATTTGAATCAAAGATGAAAGAGGAAATGATGTCCCATGCCACCATGCCCATCACAACAGCATTGGATGCTAGTAAAAGTACAAGAGAACAGGAGGTGAAGGCTAAGGGATACTAGCTACTTGTCTTGGTATATATACTCTAACCTAGCCTGCTTAGCAATACTACAAGTGCCTCATAGGAATATTAGTAAGATGAGGAAGGGACTATGAGTTGTGCTTGGTAATCAACGAGTAAACTTTAGTAATACAGGAAGAAAGAAAAGAATGTCCTAGAAGTACATTACTAATCATAACATTAGCTCCTGTTTGAGATGACGAGCTCTAGGAGGATTTCTTCAAGCATGGTCTCCATCAAGCTGGATAAAATTAGTCGCACTATTGTCAGGAAAAGCTTGCACTAGATGTTAGTGAGTAATCAGACTATTTGCACATGGATAGGGGAAGTTGCTTCATTAACTAGAGTTACCAAAGATGCACTTGATGTCCTCGATAGATGCAATATGGATACACGTGAGTGAGGAGAGGCAGCTGCTGAGAGGAGCATTGGTAACAGTGGAGATGTGATATTTGCGCTCAAAAGAAAATGCAGATGCGGTGCAAATAATGGATCAAAAGAGTTCAGATCGGTGAACACAGGTACAAAATCTGGCAGATGGAGGGTTGCATGGCACATGAACACATCGCTCTGCTAGATCATCAGCAGTGGCTAGTACTTTGCCATATTCAAGGTTGCTAGGGTTGATGTTCTTGTAGTATGTCTTCCAGATGTTGTCCACCATTTCGACGGTACTCTGATTGTTGTTCACATAGGCATATGCTGTATTGGTGTGACTGGCAAAGAGGGTGCCAATACGATTAATGCATCTTGCAAGTGTGGTTGTT